TTCAAGCCAGTAGCTTGAAGCCCAGTGTTCCACTGGGGAACGTGAAGGAAAAAAAATAAGGTACACGATTTGCGTTTTCAATAATGATGTCAGTCAGATGGCGCATCACAAAAAGTATTCACAACGGGCCGTAGACTTTCACCAACAACCATCTCTTCTTGATCCATACTGAAGATCAGATGGTAGTACAAAAAGAATTAGCAACAAGGAGGTCAGAGGAAGAACCAGTTGAGAGCTTGTCTCCCAAAATATATACCGAAGGATTAGGAGATACATAGGACATACTCTGAGGAGACCAATGAATAACAGCGCGCGCCAAGCCCTTAAATGGAACCTGAATGGGAAACGACCAGTTGAGCAGATGAAGGTGACATAAAAGAGATTGTGTCAGGGAAAAATGATAGCCTGCCGGCAGTCAATGATCTACTTCCCTCACCGGATATTTATATACTAATTCTTTACTCAGAAATCTAAGGCAATAGTCCAGTAGATCAATTAACCTACACATTAAGTTAGGCGTAAAATTCACAAGCACAGGATTTCTCTAGAATACGACATTATCTTATGCATCAAATAGTGAAATATACTAACGTCAAAATTGTGAAGCTGAGCACCGTCAAATGCAAAATCATCGTGTCTCAATAAGAAGAACAACAAAACTGTGTCAAGGACAATCCCCCGTCAGATTAAACAGTACACAAACATCGAAATACCCTCGTGTTTTACTCAAAGACTAAAGGATTTAAATGTTATCTGTAATTATCTCTACAAATTGAGTTATATTTCAATATACAAATGAAGCTGAAAAAATTGCCAGTATACTCTGAATTGAGCCTTTCCATTCTCCAGTAATGCCAGTCAGTGCTGAATGAGGGCTGAGAGAGTTGAAATAACGCTGATTACCATACACAGTAGGCTCTGATCTACTTCTGAAAATACCTAGAAAAAGCACAGTGTGCTGAATTAGCTCCAGTCATGCTGAAAACAAGCACTGAGTTCTAGTCTGGGCGCATAACCAAACCACTTCAGAACAATTTCAGAATTTACTCACTATAGGATGGCAGCCTGTAGACGGACGTAGGTCATTTGATCAGCTGATGGATATTGGCGTTATTTATTGGGTAAACGTCAAGGTTAGGTCATTTTTCGTTGTTTTTCACACTTTTTTACCTATATTCCTGCTAAAAGTTGATGAAATGCGGCCTATTTAGCAGAAAGAGCATATGGTGGTGTCCTTATCCGGACGTAGGTCACAGGCAGTTTACAGTTTGCTGAAAATACATAATTTTTCCGTTCAGAAAATGTCTAATTACTTGAAGACACATGTTATAACGACTTTTTGTGAATTTATTTTGCAGTTTAATGGATTACACATGGACATGATGAGGTGGGATAGCTCGTTCTGGTAATTATTTCACTTACTTTGTTGTGTACTTTGCCTAAATGCTGACAAGGCTCCTCCACATGTATTTCTTTAAGAAAAATCTGCAGAAATACTTAAAAATTATATATGCATAGTATTTCCTTATTTGATGGCATAAACTTGATGTTAGCAGGCAGATGGAATATCAACTTTGCATTATTGAAAAATGTTGACTAACATAATTATATACAGTTCAAATCATTATTTTGTCATTTTAAGCATATTTAATGGTTAATTATTGTGTTTACACTGATAACAATGTCTACATCTGTATAATTCTTATGTTCTTTTTCAGATAATATCTACTTTCGGGAATTTCATGGATTTGGGTGATAAAGAAAAAGATACCTGCACTGTTGTCGATTTTGTATTACATGTTAATTCATTAATAAATGTATTCCTTGTTATTCGTTTGTTTATTCTACTTGATAAGACCGAATATTAGCCCTTGCGTAATCTGTGAGGTGTAGAGTATGTGAGGCTATCTTTGAAATACTAAGTAGGAACAGATATTCGGAGAAGCCTATTGGTTAAAGATTATGTTGTAGTCAAATAAAGTAAATATGTCTGAAGTGTAGAGGAGGTATTGCGATTATAAAGCGTTTCGAGTTATCTATCGTCTTAGCAGAATACATATACTGATTCGCGATTCATAGTCACAAAGTGAGAGTAAATCTACCTGAGATAGTTTGCTTGTGATTTCTGCATGCCGCAGTATACCATAAGGAGAGACTATACCTTTGCTGTTAGATGTATGACTCAGTGCAACTACGGTTATCGTAATAATTAAAAACAGAATGCCTAGGGTTCTCAGCCAAAGAACACGATACGTTGCTATCTGCTCATATAATCACGTAAACAAAAGTTTTCCAGACGCCGCATTTACTCCTAACAGTTTACCCTCAACTTCTAACTTAGCACGTGCTACTTATGTTACTGGAACACAATCGCATTACAACAGAAGGAAGACAGATTCATTGAAAAATTGTTTATTAAACAAAAATCAGATTTCAAATGTACAGATAATTCAGATGAGTAGTCCTCTGTTACCGTCAGTAAGTTCCATCTGCGTACACGGTACATATATGTTTTTCCATAAGTCTGAAAAGGTTTAAGAAAAGCATAATTAACTTGGGTATTACATGTATGATCTGAATAAAAAAATTTTCCTGATAAGCATTTACAAGTGATCACTTTACAAACAATATATATATGTATATAAGTAGCCCAATAGTTTTCACTAAACTTAAGGGACTTCGCAACTTATCGTTTGTCGATATCTAGTAGGTCCATCGAAGCATCATGAAATGATAAAATTATTTAACGACAAGTTATGCAGTAGTTTCCAAAGCTTGTACAAATATTTTAGCAAAAATGACAACAACTTTATGACAAATAATAGGTCTTGACAGCAATAATAATAACGTTCATGTTCATAGTGACTATAAAAACAATGACAAATATTATTATCGCAACGAATTCATCATTAACTTAGATAGACAACTAATAATAATACAATCATATCAAATAAATGTATCACTTAATCTTAAGAAGCACGTGTTTACTTACTTTCACTCTATTCTCTCAATACTGATGTGCTCAACTAGCTTATTCTAACTGAATTTAAGATTAATTCTAAAAGTGAGGGGAGATCCAGTTTATGTCAAATAAAAACATGTAACTTACATGTATTACACTGCTTACTGAGACATCTGGTACCTGCTTTCCGATCTTCGTGACAAGGACAAAGTTCATCTAGGTTTACCTACATATACAAAAGTATACGTATATGCTGCATCAACCATGCCGTTTTTATCATGATTAGCCAGACCACTGTGTATATTATACTTATTTAAGGATCTCTGAAAATAATTGAAGTTGCGTAAAGTTATTACCTCTTCAAGACATTGTTTGCATTCTTGACACTCCTGAGAAGTCCTTAGATCGTTATTTGGCGTGAATTCGTCGAATTCAGCAAATAAATCTACTGGTATATCATTTCTTTCCTGAGCTGTAATAATTTGTGTTGTCAGTTATCTCTCCAATTTGATAAAACGCTCACGGAAATTCAGGACTTAACCAAGCAGCAAAATTATGTTTGAAATTACCTCAACTCGAATGACAAACTGGCCAATCACAAGCGAGCGAATCGCTTGTTTATCTCATTCGCGGTCACTCAAAATTACGTCCGTCGACAGGCTGTCCTATAAGATGCTAGAATTATTTCAGAATTACCCGCGGGTAGAGGAGTGTAGGGAGTTTAGTGAGGAGAGTGGTGGCACTCATGCAAGTACACACTCGTCAGTGTCAGACAGCCAGGTGCATGTGACGACGACGGAGAATAAGAGAAAGCTAGCTTATGAGTGATGGTATGAAAAGCACGGGCCCAGCCGGGATTCGAACCCGGGACCACTCGCACCCAAAGCGAGTATCACAACCCTAGACCACTAGGCCACTCTCCGCCACTCACAACACTTCATCTAATCCCATACCACATTCACTCCACTGCACTCCACTCCACTCCACTCGATGAACCTCTCTCTCTCTCTGTGCACTCCGTGTTGTTGACCTGTGAATCTGGTGGTGGTATGTCAGTGAGTTAGTCAGTGAGTTAGTCAGTGAACCATTGTACGAGGTGTGCTTGTGCGTGAGATGGTGATTGAGTGTGTGTGTGTGTGCGTGTGCGTGTGTGTTAGTGTGAAGGGAATAGAAGTAGATGAGAATAATTTCAGTCGAATATACACAGTTGTCTTTTGCATGAGTGTTGACGCTCTCCTCGTGACTGTGGGGATGTAGCTCAGTGGTAGAGCGCTCGCTTCGCATGCGAGAGGTCCCGGGTTCGATCCCCGGCATCTCCACGCGCATCGATGTGGCGACGCGGTGGCACTTTTGATAATTCTCTTCTTCACACCATCACACTCACCAACTGGCAGACGCCATCATTCCGACCAGACAGAGTGTACACCACCCGTCGACAAGTGGTAATCGAAGCCGCCAATTAACTACACACTCCACTCGTTTGTCAGTCTATATCTCTCTCGCCCTCGCTCTCCTCACTTAACTCCCCACACTCCTCTATCCGTGACCAGATACACGCTGAGCACATGGAAATACTGATTACAATATTCACAATTATCACAATACTCGAAATATTCGTAAAAGTCAGAGTGACAATCATGACTGTAATATTGGTGATGAATTTCATAGCTTTAATGATGACATAATTTCTCATATCCATAATATTCATAATCATAATAGTAATAATTATAACAAGAATAACAAGATCAATTATTATGATTATTGTTGGAGGTCTGTAAATTCCATGCTGTAAATTGTTATTGTTGTGGAATAAAGTGATTATTATTATTATTAATATTATTATCATCATCATCACTACTATTACAGTCGCTGTCATCTTGAATACAAACATAAATTATTCTCTTATTATTGTTATTTTTATTAATATTGTTACTATTATTATTATTAATAATAGTAGTATTATCATTATTACTATTATTATTATTATGAGGCGTATATTAACAACATGAGGATAACAACTTCAATTCGACCGACTACTGCTGTAATATCAGTAGAAGTAGTAGTTGCCTTAGTACTGTTAATATTAGAATCGCTGTGATTATAATAATATCCCACTATATGATAACTAGTCTTGTATGTAGTAGTATTTCTCTCTAACAGTGTTCATCTGGTTATCTTCAAGAAATATAGTCATTCTTTTGTGTCAGTTAGTGACATTTTAAAACAATTTGAGCAGAATTAGCGTTTATTTTCAATTTTTATTAACATGGTAATTTTTCATTTATATTAGAGATTACATTTTAAAGAAATTGTCAATAAAGTTATTAATTAGTTGATTTATTAGTAGAAAATTAAAGTATTATTTTGTTAGCATTCGTAGATTTTTGTTTTACTTTTCAGTGCGTAGCTGATTAAATGAAATAGAGAAAACAAAAGTAATTTAGTGTTGGTTTGTAGAGATTTGATTGGTTACAGGAATTCATCATGAGCTGACATTAGTTAGAGAACCATTGGAAAACCTGCAAGGAGTACTGGACAGCTGTTTCGTCCTAGCGACTTACCCTATTCAGGTAGGTAGTTACCGGGATTTCTAGTGAGAAGTCGTGACCAGTAGGGTGTAGCAGGTCGGGTGTGAGGACAAATACTCGCCAAAGACATTGGCTAAGGGTCGCGCTATGTCGTGAATTGGCAGAAGTTAGAATTCATGGACTGGCCATTGGATCGGGTTCCAGTGACTTAACGGTATAAGAGCTCGCCTTGTAGCCAGACAATCCTGGGTTCGGATCCCGGTGGGTGCGTGTTGATGAAGTGTCCCAAACTAGGAAAAAACAGTTGTCCATTGCTCCCTGCAGGTTTTGCAATGATTCTCTAAGTAATATCAGCTCGTGATAAAAGTAATTTAGATTAAACAAACCCAACGTTCACCTTCAAATAGAAAATGAACTGCTGTCATTATTTACTAGGAGGTATAAGGTTTATTAAAAACTACTGTACAGAAATTCGAATGGTCGTACATAGGAGACTTTTAAACTTACTTTGATTGGACACCAGTTAGTAACTAATGTCATGTGTCTAGCTGGTCCTTCGATTGTTACAGACTGACTTCTAACCATCAAGTTTACAATGTGGTGATCATGCGCTAAACGAAAAAAACTAGACGGATGACATTAGTTAATCAGAGTATCCATTACAGTCCTACAAGAGTTCACTCTGAGTAGTGATGTCTAACTGCAGCCCCGGGTTACCTGGGCTTGAGTCTCAGAAAGGACAACAAAATCTAGATCCAATGCTACTAATTGATTGCATCCAACCTTCCACTGAAACGCTCGAATAAAACTTTTTTTTTAGCTTTCCTTATAGCATTATGCGATGAGGCTTAAATTATCCTTCATTTAATACAACTCAGATTATTATGTAAACTGATCAACTTCCAATAAGTTAGTCTACAAAGATAATAAAACTTTCATTATACTAATAAATGAATCCTAAAATATCATTGGTTGTGAAATGGACACTGTTTCTAAATTTTAAATGCATATCAAACCAAGCAAAGCAAGTGAAATGATGTACAAAGCTTTTTGAGGAAGCATGTGGCCTGCACATTCATTTGCTTTTCAGTTTCAGCCTTAATTAGTATTTGACGCAATACCGTCAGCATAACACCAAATCTTATTTTAATATCTTGCTTGTACGTTCAAGTGAATATAGTCCTACCAGTTGTAACAGTTTTCCAGGTACTAGTAAGGGCAGTTGTAGCGGTGTTAGAGGATGTCTGTCATCATTTATTAAAATGGGTTGCACGTGACGATAAACCTTCATTTTGATTTTCATATGCTTTTAAAATTCATTATCCTGACTGTTTACACATAGCTATTATTGTTCATTGACTTCACGTGTGAAGTCACTAGAGCTTGAAAAATTATCAAGATTTCTACTTTTTTTCACATTTAAACTCTTCACCGATAAAAATTTGACCTTTAAAATTCTTAGAATTTAAGGTGTTTTCATCTGTTGCTGATGACACAGTTCAAATATCGTCTATAATATTATTCAAACTCTATTAATTTGACCAACATTTAAGATATCTTTCAGTAAGTAATACTGTCGGATAACGGTGTTCACTCTTATCAATATTATTATTTCCTTGAGCTTCCGGTGGAACATAGGACTACGACAGCATATTTCCATTTTGTCCTGTTCCCCACAATTCTCTTAGCTTGCTTCATGATTGACCTCCTCACACGATCTACTCCATGTCACCCTTGGACCACAGTCTACCTCGTCGTCCTATATTCTGGTTCCACCAGAGTGATGACCAGAGCCACGATATCACTCAACGATTTCTTTGGCATGCGTCTGATCCATCTATATTTCCTTCGACAAACTTGTTGAGCAATGGGTTCTTTACTGGTTCATACCCAGACTTCCTTGCTATTATTTACTTATGGTCATCCATTCGGTCTTGAGTGTGCAGCCAGAGAAGTCACTTGTTAATAAAAGTGTGCAGCAGTCTGTTGTAATTGCTTTTCTTGAAGCACGTATCAATTTTCTGGTCCATATAGAACTGACTGACTTAACATGGGTGTTGGAAGTCTGAATCATGTTCTTTATGTCTGATTACAGTACATTTCCGCACTTATTTCGTAATAATGAAGGTCTGTATTACTTTTCTGATTCTGCCTTTAACCTCTTCATTCGTGCTGTCGCCTCCAGTTGAAACGATTTTGTCTAAATAGGTAAGATAATTGACCTCTTTCAAATTTCTCCCTTTGGTAGTGACTGCTCCTTTCTGCTGTGGTTGGTTGTTTATCCTCATCAACGGCATCTTCTCTATGTTCACTTGAAATCGTGTGTTTGTTGCTCCTTCCGTCAACTTGTTGGTTTTCAACTGTAATTCATCGAGTTTGTGTGACACTAAACATAAGTCATGCTCGGACATGTTCACTCTTGACCAAGCTAATTGAATGAGTTTCATTTTTATAATAGAATTTCTGAAATCATATCTTTGCAGCCAGTCTTGTATAAATAGTATATGCTTCTGATAGGAATCGGCTTAAAATAGGAATCATTTTATGATCGGATGACAGTCAAATTTCACCATCTTTTTCGTACCTCGGTCTTGGTTAAGTCGCCAACTAATCACAACAATCTATTTTCTCTGCTCTAAGTAGATTTTAATGCGGTCAAAAATATAGAAACATGACTTGCATTTTCCTAATAAAATTGTGTCATAGTGTAGCTACAGGCCAGTCTTTGTCTTTTGATATGTAGGTGCCTTAGCGAAGCGGAATGTACTCCACAAAAATAGGCATATTTAGCTTATCAGCTAAGTTATTCATTTCGTCAGTATTATTGTACTCATGCATAATTGCGCTCAGTAATATCAACTGTTGACGCGACAGATGCATAACAAATTGGTAATGAGTTCTATTCAAATAGCGACAGCCTCCTCTTGCCTGAAGACTTAAAGGGACTGCCTCCACTTCTAACCATCGAGACTATCTGAGATAATCAAGATGAAACAAACCAAGTATTCGCTGGCGACAATGTCGGCTGGTCGCGATAGAAATTAGAATTCATGGACTGACCATTTAGTTGGATCCCATTGGCTGAATGGTCTACAAGTTTCCCTTGTAACCGAAAGGTTATGGGTTCCAATCCCTGTGGGTGCGTACTTTCGGTGATTCGCAAAATACGATGAAACAGTTGTCCAGTACTCCAGTTCCAGATATGTTGTGATTGATCTCCGTCCTAAGCTAAACTTCGAACAAATCAAATTTCTTCTAACTCTAAAATCAATATAATGCGTAATAATTGAAATCACCTTCAGATTACTAACTGGTCCGGTGACCTACTGACCAGTTCCTAATCAATAATGCAACAGCCTAAGTAAGGCGAATAAATTTTCCGATACTACCTTATTCTATCAACAAGTATTGAGTAATCATCTAAACCTTTAATTACTTTCAGTAAACAAATTTTCTCACCATATAGTTGACACTTTTAATATTAATGATCCTTTTCGTTTTGGATTTTCCCTTTTCTACCCTTTTCGCCGTCAAATCTGAATACTTAGGAATTATTTATTTCAACATCACTGACACTTATACAAATATAATTTTTAGTGGGAGGATTTCATCATGAGCTGGTATCACTTAGAGGACCAGTGAGAACCAGGGAGTACTAGACAGCTGTTTCATCCTAGTTTGAGGCTCACTGGCATTACTCAATCACCAGGGTTTGAATCAAGGACCTTCCGGTTACAGGTCAAGCTCGCAGAGCATTCAGTCACTAGGATTCGACCCAAAGGCCCATGAATTCTAACTTCTTTAGAAGTGACTCAATGGTCTATCAGCTCACCTTGTAACCAGAAGGTCCTGGCTTCGAACCCTCTGTGGTGTATGTGTGTACTGGTGAAGAATCTCTCCCAAACTAGGACGAAACAGCTGTCCAGTATTCCCTGCAGGTTCTCCAATGTTTCTATAACTGATGTCAGCTCATGATGCAATCTTCCAACCAATCGGACAAAATCCCTATAAACCAATACTTGAAAATATAATTTTTACATATATCTACTTTCCACTTGGGGCTTAATGTTTTGTATGTGGAACTATGCAGTTAAATTACTGATCAAAAAGTTTATTTGAATTAACTATGAATAATGATGATTAGTGGTCTGTTTTCTAAATAAATAAAGGAGATAATAGAGAATATTTATAGCTCAGGTGGATGATTTGCAGTTAAAAGTGTTCTCTGAGCTGGTTGGTTTAGTTGCGGAGCTTTCGTCGTCTTTTTGGACAACATCTTCAGCGCAATATTTATCACAAAGTGAAATGATTTAAATTTCTTCATGAGTGATATAAGTGCAAATAAAGGAGGTAAAATAATTAAAAAAAATCATCTCACCTTCAAGCACTATGAAAAATTCTCCTCCTGTAAATTTACAAGATTATAATTGTTTATTATTCTATGATGAACAGTCTGACGGTCTTTTCGCTTTCCTTTTATCTCAATAGTTGAAAGTAATGAAAGGCTGTATTCAAAGTTATATCATAAGACTATTAGTTTATGTACAAATCAAAACCGTGTAAACACACAATGTGAAAAGAAATAAGTTCTGTGTGTGTGAATCACATTAGGTATTCTCTGACGAACTCGTAAAAATATCAAACTATATGTCGATAGCACTGATTGCAATCAACTCAATGAAACCTAATGTAAGTTGAATGCTATCAGCAGAGTAAACTTCATTTTAAAATAAATTAGAACCAAAAGTCAAGAATTGTCAACGTGTCTATAGATAGATACACCCTTGCCAGCTATTTCATAAAACGTTCAGAGGACAATGTAAGACAATTAATTACTAGCTCAATTCTTGAGCACCTGGTCAACTCAGGCTGCACAGCTCCACCGTAGTCGTCTTTCTCAGAATTATCCAGAAGGGGTATTAGCTGTAGGCATTTATGATGGAGGCGCTGTTGTCATCCCGATCTCCGTGTAAACAAAAAGTTTGTCCAGTCTCTTATTCCACAGTAGTCTTAATCTCTGATGATATTAGATAGTTGGAGGCAATCGGCCACAGGAATCTTTGGACCTAGGTTTCGTCCTAGTTGGTACTCGTCAGCAAGGCATATCTGCAATGTTGAAGGAACTCATGTCGCCTCTGAGATTCGAACCGGCGTCACCCAGTGCTTCAGTCAGAGATGTCTTAATCTCTTCCCCAATTGTTCACTTTTATTTTTAATAATCACTCCTACGTGTTCCTTTTGTACATTTTCTCACCCTCTTCACATCAGTCAGGCGAACACTCAACTCATTCAATAACAATTCTAACTCCGTCAAATTTCAAAGGCTTTCTTCTACTGTGTCGCTGACTGTCATGTAATCCTTCTTAATTTTTAATTTCATTTTAGAAACCAGTTCTGAGTAATTATATCGATTCTGACACTCACCAGCCACCTATTACTCAGCAGTAGATTACTTTACATTTTTGGTAAGTATAAATATGTTTGTACAGCCCCTGAAGATGACCTTGTCCATCAAGAAAATTTTCCTCATCGGATTATCCTTTATTTTATTCATGACTTAATGAGTAATTCAGATATACTTATTTGTTTCAAAAAGGCTTTTGAAAAACCACCTTCTAAATTAAAATCTCAAAGGGCCTTCTATGGCTTCTTCATATAATTGGAATGGTCAAACTTTCTGAGTTGCTATAGGCTACTTTCTAATGCTGTTGATGCCACTGTGACGGGTAGTTGAGCCTTAGGGGCTCTACTGTCTTGGATACGGCTTCATCAGATGAATATATCTGAATGATGGTGACTCCAATACAATAATGGCTCAATAAAATCAATCTGTGGGATATGATATCACGATAGTTTGAATACAATTCATGCTATTGTCATGATAAAAAATAACCTCAAGTTATTTATTGCAGGAGAGTACAGTAACCTAACCTCTCCTTTTCGCGAATCCATTCACTTAGCTGTATAAATGCAATTATATATAAATACTTTTCTATGTGTCTGTACATAACACAAGAACCAAAATCAGTTTGGAGTCAAGGAACATTATCCCACTTGCCTAGAGAAAGGTCAAAATGCCTCAATAAGGAGTGTTATAATTGAGCGTATATTCAACACTTGTCCCTCCATCCATATGCGAAGAAAATTCACTCAAAGTTCTCTACAAAATTAAAAGAAGCCTCCCAAAAATGGTGTGCTTCCCTATACTCTGTATTGCGGACGCCTTAGTGATTCGAATGGAAAACCTTGATTTATATCCACAGAAGAAACTTCTCCATCTCTCCCCCCCCCCACGCCGTCTACCTTGGGTAGAATTCCAAGCTCAAATATCATCAGCATTTTATGATTAAAAAAAACATTCTTAGCATTTTTCGTTTGATACTTACTAACATTACTTTCTTAACTAACCCTTTGTTCACTGTTTTCACCGAATACATAATTTATTTTGTTACTTGTCTCTATTATATTAAGATCCAACTTTTTCTGAAGTTTTCTCATGTTAGATAACCTTAGTCTAAATTTACTAATCTTCACCCCGTAGTAACGATTTGATAATTCATCAGTGTGTTTGAAATATTTTGATTGTATAGAGAATGCACCAAAATGCATACTACTGATTGACTAAAATCAGTAGTTGTATACCACTCCTCCCCCCCCCCCCGAATTGATCATCATCAGTGCTTGCTAGCCAGCTGGATGAAATTGATGTAAATACCAGATGGCCGTTTCTCTCATTTGAGGTTGAGCTCATCAACGGTGTAGTCGGTTGGAGTCAGCTCAGAGAGCCGAATCACTTCAAACTAATTTTTAATTCTTGTGCTATGAATTCATCGGAATGAGACTCCTGGCTGAACTGATTATTCTAATTTCCATGTCTGGATGGGTAATTATCGTGTACTAAACATCAAACAGTTTGTTTTATCAACATGTAAAAAATAAAAATGAATATAGAGAAAAATGACTAGTGAATATTGTAGTCATATTTATTGATATTATAAAGGTGGCATTTCTGATTCCAGTTGAACTGAAAAAACTGTCTTAGGGTACTTATCTATCATTTAAATTATAGAAATAAACTGTGTTAACTTCACAAATTATTGCTTGTAGCAAGATCCAAAGACACGATAAAGACAACTTCATCTATGAACCTTAATGTTCTCTAAAATGATCTGGAAAAGGTTGGAATTAATGAAATCCTTTCTGGGAGTAAACTATGACTCTATACTAATCTCATACATATTTCGATCTTTCAGCTATTCTCAGTGTATAATTGATATCAACAGTTATTCAACATATATACAAAATTAAGTAACAAAAAATAATCACTTACAATCCTTCAAGGAATTTTTGCCACCCAGATGGAGGTGGCATGTCGCTAAAAATGGTGAAGATAATAATAACAATTTGTAATAATTGGCATTATCTGAATTTATATAGCCTCAAAGAACACTTGCATAATCTCTTAGGATAATTAACAGGTGTTTCCATATTAGTTTGTTTATTAGATATATCACACAGTGAAACAGTATTATTTACTGGATGACGTTTCGAAGATATAGATATAGATATATAGATTTTTCTTAGAATCAATAATAACTGAAGCTTTCTATGTAAGCTGTTTACTCTGTCACTTTTAATTTTACTAACTATAAATCTACGGAAAGTGACATTAACAACTAAGATGACAAAAGCACACTTGTCAGAAGTCTACACCGAATGTATTATAATCAGTTTATGAAATCAGTTAAAATGTACAAATATGTGTGTATAGTCTGTAACAGCTATCTGCTTAAAACTTTGGGTACTAAAAGCCTCCATCACTATAATGCATCTTACTTCTCGTGTTCTCACTGTTTAATCTATAAAAAGATGACCCTTAACAGTATTGTTTACTCTCGCAAGTATTTAAAATATTCACAACCTGTCAATTTTCAAGTTTTTACTCAACTTGAGAAAAAGAAGAACACTGTGGATGGCAACGTAACACTTCAGTCCTTGAGATAACTGTTCTTGACATTTTTATTTCAAACTGCTACTGTCTTTTTGGGAGATAAAACTAAATGTCTATAACGTTTAATCATTCTGTTATGTCTTCGAGTAGCAAAATGTGTACTCATGCAATTTTCTTAATTGGTTTTCAATCAAATATCGTGCATTTAATGAAGGCGATAAAGAATAAATACTAGAAAAAGGATTAGTTTGAGCCTCAGGTAAAACGATATAGCATCATGCGATCTACTGCCAGTTTTTATTTTATCTGACGATGCCAAACTAAGAAAATACATTATGCAATTAGTTCTGCCAAGGACTCAGTACACTTTATAAATGCTGTCAAGAATAAAGCTATTATTGTTACCAATAAAGTATTTTTTTATTTTATTTTATTTGTTTTTTGATTACAGCTTGATTCCACACTGTATTTTTGGTACAAGTATGGAATTTTCAGCATGTGATATCGGTAGCCCAAATTTTGCAGGCTGACCATAGATATCAGGTGTTCGTCGGCAGGGGATTGAACCTCGGACCATGTGTATGGTCGGCGAGAGTCTTAACCACTGTGCCAGTTGATTGTAAATTCTCTTGTATCCGTCATCTAGTCACCGTAAATCTATATGCTTAGAAACTCAATGAAGAAGCCTTATATTGATAGAAGAGAAGAGACAAGATGGTCTATTCCTACTCCATGCATATAGAACTAATAGATAGCAAGAGATGGGACATAATTAAATTTTCAAATAAATCTAAACGGAATACGTCTCACTATGTGTTGCGTCACAAATGACCTTGCATATAATATCACCTGGGAAGCATCGTCTCAACTACAGGCGGAACTGACGAGGACATCAAAGCCAGAATCGGAAAAGCAAGACAAGCTTTCATTACTCTCAAATCTGTGTGGAGGTCAACAGCACTCAGCATCAAAAATAACATCCGGATTTTCAACTCCAATGTGAAGTCAGTGCTACTCACTATACGGATCAGAGACTTGGCGAGTCATAAAGAGCATCTCAAACAAACTTCAGACCTTCATTAACAGTTGTCTTCGCTCAATACCACTCAAGATCAGATAGCTGGCCAGAAAAGATCATCAACAGGGATATCTGGCAATGAGCGAACCAACTAGGAACCGATTGTGAAACAAATAGGCAGGAAGAAATGGAGATGGATTGGCTGGCCATACTCTGAGGAAACCATCAAGTGACATCACTAGACAAGCCATTGCTCGAGTGGAACCCGAAAGGAAGGCGGCGAGTTGGTCATCAGTGCGAGGGTGACTTGGAGGAGGTCATGCGAGGAGGAGATGAAAGCATGTGGACAGACCTGGAGCAGGGTGAAAAAGTTGTCAGAAAACCGAAGGCAATGGAGGTGCTCAGCTGAAGCCCTATGTTCCTCTAGGAACTAAAGGATACAATAATAATAATAATATCACCTTTAAATTCAACTTTCAAGATAATCAACATCTTATAAAGTTGTCAAACATTTAGTTAATATTTCATCGATGTTTACGTGTTCAATCACAAAACTACTAGGATACCTATTTCTACAGTTAGTTGTGAATGGTGGTAAATTTTTCTTATATTATGCAATACATTTTAAATAGTTTCATTTGTGCAGGAGGGGGGGGCACAATACTAAGACGTAAGCGCATTAAACCACTGGAGTTTGCTTCCATGCATATATATATATATATGCTGCGTTCGACAGCCCTGATGATCGGATCGTTTCAGATATTTGTGATTCATAAGTGTTTCATATACGAAAAAGCCTCAAAGTGGCTATCTAGTCGACTTCAATTTTTTTTCTTTTTAACTATACACCTGAATTGCGAGCATCAGTAGTACATTGATAGGATATTAACTTGCCGCTCGGGTGATCCGGGTTCGACTCCAAGCTGATACACTCTGCTCCACCAGTGGTGACGGCGGTGGTTCATTGGTAGAATGCTCACCAACTATCCACTTTGTCGGAAGTTTGGTCTCCGAATAAGGCACACCTAAACCTCAATTACCTTACCAGTTGTAAGCCTGGTAGGTCCGGAATGAAACTAGCGACCTTATCTCTTAAAAAATTCACCAGGACTAATGAAAATTCAAATTTGATTCTTGAAGCCCCATGTATCACCAGGAACGTAAAGAAATGCACTATTGTTCTGGTCAATACAAATTATCTGAACAGATAAAATGTCAAAGAATACTGCTTTTTACTTATCCTTTTTCTTGAATTTCTATTTGTTTGTATCGTGTAAGATTTTGTTGTACAAACTAAAGCTGTAATATTTTCGAAAGTACTGTTGCATATAAATTCTTAGTATGTGTGTATGTATCAAAATAATGCAAGAAATAAGAAGAGTTTTTGACTTACGGTGTTGTTTGTGTAGTAGTAGTAGTAGTAGTAGTAGTAGTAGTAGTAGTATGAGCTGAAACTGAATTAGACGAATTTATTTACCACTTTTATACAAATACAAATTTCATGTCTATGTACTGAAACCGAGTGAGGTTTACTTCTTGTTCATATGTGATCAGAAATTAAAACAATTAGATGAGCTCTAATCTGTAATAAACATTAGTTGGAAACAGTTAACACACTAGTTGGAGGGTTTCATCATGAGTTGATAACAGTTAGAGAATAATTGGAAAACCTGGGAGTATTGGTAGCTGTGTCGTCCTAGTTCGGGACTCTTCATCAGTAGACACCCGTCGAAGTTCGTACCCAGGGCCTTCTGGCTCTAAGGCGAGCTCGTAGACCGTTAAGCCACGGGGACCCTACCCAATGGCCATCACATGAATTCCAGCTTCTGCTAATTCATAAAATAGCGCAAACACTTCGCACTATCTTCTTTGATGAGTAACAGTTCTCACCTTCAACCTGCTGCACCCTGCTGGTCACGACTGGACCATATGGGAAGGAAATAACCGTTTACAATCAAAGTATCTATGAAATTTAGGCACCAGAGAGAACCACAAAGATATTTCTTAACAAAATGGTGTACCTAAAGTACACTCACGCCAGTCACCATTAATGGAGGAAATTTGAAGGAGGTTACTTTCCACATTTATCGAGGCATCAGTATCGTTTCAACTACAGTCGACAGCACGGATCAGGGTATCAAAACCAGCCATGATAGAAAAGGTAAGTTAGACCTTCATCAATCTGAAATCAGTTTGGAAATCTCCTGTACTCAGCATAAGAAATAAAATTCAGATTTCCAACGCAAGTATCTAGTCACTTCTTCTACATGGTTTAGAGACTTGGTACATCTGTCATTGAAAGCATTCCTGACATGTTTCACATTTTTATTAACAGCTGCCTTCTCTTGCTCCATACTGATGATAAGACGATTAGCTAGAAAGGATTAACAACAAAAAACTCTGACAACAAACCAGTCAAGAGCATATTGCTCAAAGAATACACCGAAGGAAATGGAAGTGGATTGAACATACACTGAGGAGACCATCGGGTGATTACGTTCACCAGGTCATCTTTAGAGTCGAACTCAAATGGGAAACTGATATGTATCCATATATATATATGTATGGTGGTCTCTCCTTCTGTTGCTCTCTTAGTCTGTGACCATTTCACCTTGATGAACCTGTCTCCTTTAACAATGTATATCCCCTTATATTATATATAATATGTGTGTTTGTTGACAGACTGTCCTTGGTGATATATATCCATATAATATGTGTGTTTGTTGACATGTCTGCTATATTTTGCTATGTATATATGGATCGATACTCCATTATAATTAGCCAATCATGTTAAGACTGTCTATTGATTGTTCACACACTTGTTCGGACATTTATATATATTTATGCTCGCACACTCTTATGTGAATTTGCTTCTCCTTGTGTTTTGGAAAATAGAAGTATCATCGCAAACCTAGTGATCTTCTGATTTCCGCCTTCTTGCGTCAGGACTGTTAAATTCTCGACCAGTACACACAATAATTTGGCGACGGGGAAAACTACTATTAACCACTCAGCAGCAGCAACATAACAGAAACGACGACTCGGCGTGGGTAAGTGGGTGACATGGGAGAGATAGTGTAAGGAAGAGATGCAGCCTATGGATAATCGTGAAACCAGCTGTAGAGGACTGCAGAGAACAGAATGAAATTAAGGTGGGCTGTTGAAGCACTGTGTTCCACTCTGAACCCATGGAAATAATAAAAATAATAATACACCCACTGTGCAGCTAGCTAAACCATTCAGACATTCTAAATTACTTAGATTTAATTATGATGTATTGTTCCTGATGTGTCATCCATTCACATCTCCTTGCACAACTTAAGTTTTGGTACAGAATATCTTCTCTTTAATGAAGTCAATACATATCGCCTCAACAAAATGATTCATTTCTAATGATATGGAAGAGCAGTTAAACATTGAAAGACAATTTTGATCTAGGGATACTGAAAGAGAAATAACTCGACGCAAAGATGGACAACAGAAGGAGAAGCTGAGTTCGATGTACACTGCAATGAATAAAGTAGTGAAGAAGAGTACCAGGATCGACAAAAGACAATTCTACGACACAGTAGCCGGTAACCCAACGAGAACAGGCAGATTGAAGGTAAAGGAAACCTCAGAACATTATATCAGATAACCAGGATGATCGCTATCTAGGAAGAGACCTACCCAGATGATGAAACCAATAAAAGGTGGTCAAGGGAACCTGATTAACAAGGGGGAGGAACAAATGAAACAATGGACTGACCACTTCACAGCACTCTTGAATCGACCACCGCCTTCAACTCGCCACTGACAACAGTCACACAACTGCCTGCCAGTGGACACCAATCTCCCTGAGAAAACAGATGTCTTGAATGCAATCAATCTACTGAACGTTGACCGGGAAGGCAGAAGGACTAGACGGAATCCCCACCTAACTCCCACCGCCACCATCCTAACGAAGCACTGGAAACCGACCCAGAAACTGCGGAACTTGTCCTGATGTCATTATTCCAGAATGTTTGGAAGGAAGGAGAGGTGCTTAGCGATTAGAAGAAAGGCTGGCTACCCTGTCAAGAGACCTACTTACGCCTCACTCTGCAAGAACTGACGCCGAGTAATGCTCTTGTCCACGACAATTTAAATGTGTGATTCATGTCATCCTAGAGAGAATTAAAGATGCACTGTATACAGAATTCCATCCACAAAACCAAGCTGCATTCAACAATGCAAATCATGTGCTGATCAAATTGTGACTCCACTCATCATCATCAACATCATCGAACAAAGCATACAATGGAAATCAACTCAGACTCTACCACAATTTCATAGACGTTGAAAAGACCTTCAACAAAAAGTGTTGACCGAGGAGTAATTTGGAAACTGCTTCAACACTACGGCGTGCAGTGCTGCAAACCTTCATCAACCTTATTCACCAGCTGGCTACATGACAATGTTACATGTCAGCTGATCCACAACGGAAAACTCAATGTAAGGCGTTCAAAGTGAATACACGAGTAAGACAAAGTGGCTAACTATTTCAAAGCAAGTCTGAATCAGAAATGCAAATCACACCGTCATCAATCAGAAATCGATTTAGAAATCTCCTGCACTCAAGATAAACAACACCACTCGAATATCCAACACAAATGTGAAGTCAGTCACTTCCCCTATATGTATGAGAAACGTAGCGCCCACGTCATGGATGGCGTTTCGAACGTGTCAGTGCACAACTTTACCAACAGCTGCATTCGCTGGCTCCATATTGAAGTTGAAATGGCCGACCGACCAGAAGGACTTAGTAACAAGAAACTATGGGAACAAACTAACCAAGAACCTACAGTTCCAACAAATCTGTAGGAGAAAATGGAGATGGATTGGGTATACACTGAGGAGACAATCGAGTGTTAACTGACGTCACTTCATCGTCAGAGTGGAAGGTGAATGGGAAACGACGAGTGGGTCACCAGTGAGAGAGTGACATTGAGGAGATGAGAGATTATGGGCAATCATGGGTCCAGATGAAGAGGACAGAAGAGAGTAGGATAAAGTGGAGATGAGTTGTTAAAGCTCTATGTTCCACTGAGAATTCAAGGGAACAATGACAAGTATATATAGTTTTTTCTGCGTGATATTCCAAGTGTTAATTCATTTAGTTTCTGTTTGCTGTTATCCTTTCTTTTTTGTTAAAATTTATACTTCTCACCAGTAGTAAGCAGTGTGAGTTTTGTTAGTTACTTCATAATGATGACTGCTATTTGCTGTTGAAGTTTACATCAATGTATTAATACTCTACTTGAAGTATAGTTATAATTTTCCGATTATATTATTATTATTATCGTTCCCTTGGGTTCCTAGTGGAACATAGGGCTTCAGCTCCACGTCTACACTTGCTTCTGTCTTCCTTCCGCTGTACTCTTCACCTACATCATCCATGTTAGTCCATACTCTTTCAACTCCTCTTCACACAATCTCCTCCATGTCACCCTCGCGCTGACATCCCACTCGCCGCTTGCTTCCCTTTTGGCCTGGTTCCACTCGAGCAATGGCTTGACGCCCGCGCGATGACACCCAGCGGCGGCCTCCTCAGCCATGAGTGTCCAATCCATCTCCACTTCCTCCTGCATATTTGTTGATTGGCGGTTGGTTCTTGTTTTGTTTTGTTTGTTCTCAGCCATAGTTTCTTGTTGGTGACTCTTTCCGGCCTCGTCATCTGATCTTCAGTATACAGCCAGCGAAGACAGTTAGTTGTTGATGAAGGTCTGCAATAGCCAGCCTATTGGAAATATTCTTTGTGACCCGCCCGCCTGCCAAGTTTCTGATCCGTAGAGGAGAACTGACTTGACTTGACGTTGTTTGTATTGAAGATCCGAGCGAATTTTGTTGTTGATTCTGGCTGAGTGACGAAGATTTCCAGATTGGTTTCAGGTTGATAGTCAAACATTATCTGGTATATATGCTTTATTTATACCCCCTAACCAGTTGAATATCTTTTAGTGAAATTCCCTTATTCTTTGTCTCGCATTTGCAAGCTGTTAAATTTGTCTGTGAATCGCTTTTGGTACACCTTTGTTGTTTTCTTCATTGACTGATACACAGTGACTATGCATCTAACCCCATTCAGTCAAAGACACCTCAAAATTTCAGGTTTGTATATCATATTTCATTATTTTATGTGTAATATAGTACCGTTGTTGAGACAAGTCCTGAGGTTTTGTATTTTTTGAATAACACAAGACGTGGTTTAACTCTACCGCTATATCATCGCTCTGGATTCTCTTTAGAAGAAATCTACGGTAAGAATATTTCTCATAGATAAAAATGCACTATTTGAGACTGTAAGTTCATTTCCAGACTACCAAGATAAGACATAGAGCAATCGTCAAGAATTTTAAAGATCTACACCTAAATATTTTAAACTTTGTTAATAGATGTAATAGTTTATATGAAACACAAACTTACGTAATACACCAGCTTCTATGTCTAGATTTAATAATTAATTAATTAATGAAATAAAAGACAGTTATTACTGATTATTATACAGACACCATTAAAGTGTATCACCTATAGTTTAACTATAAAATCTTGCGTAAACCATGTGGTGGTGGTAGTCAGCTATCTCTCTGACCCTTTAGTTTTATTCAGATAAATTTAGGCAACAATAACAGACAACAATCAGCATAAACGGGAGGAACCTGAAAGGAACAACCTCCTTCACCTCCCTACCTACCTGGGAAGAATCGTTTCAACTACAGGCGGAACTGACGAGGATATCAAAGCAGTGAGGATTGGGAAAGCAAGACAAGCCTTCATTACTCTCAAGTCTGTGTGAGGGTCAACAGCACTTAGAATAAAAAATAAGATCCGGATTTTCAACTCAAATGGGAAATCAGTGCTAGTATACTAGTCAGAGACTTGGGGCGTCATAAAGAGCATCTCAAACAAACTTCAGACCTTCATTAACAGTTGTCTTCGCTCAATACCACTCAAGATCAGATAGCTGGCCAGAAAAGATCATCAACAGGGATATCTGGCAATGAGCGAACCAACTAGGAACCGATTGTGAAACAAATAGGCAGGAGGAAATGGAGATGGATTGGCTGGCCATACTCTGAGGAAACCATCAAGTGACATCACTAGACAAGCCATTGCTCGAGTGGAACCCGAAAGGGAAGCGGCGAGTTGGTCATCAGTGCGAGGGTGACTTGGAGGAGGTCATATGAAGAGGAGATGAAAGCATGTGGGCAGACTTGCAGCCAGATGAAAACGTTAGCTGAGAAGTGAACGCAATGGAGACGTGTGGCTGAAGCCCTATGTTCCTCTAAGAATTAAAGGAAGCAATTATATACAATAATAATAATAATACCCCGTTTAGTTCTCTTTGGTTATTTAATGTTCTTCGTGATGAATAGATTGAAATGGAAGTACAGTTGACGATTATATTCTAATAGGATACCTTCAAGGCTTTCGCATAGTAATCTCCATGAAACTGTGACTATATTATTCAGTCAAAACTCATAAGTGACACTTGTCACAAGGCAAGAAATTCTGAATAGCTGTATTTTCCTAGTTTATAATTTCACAGCACTGCACACATTGATGACCAAGTAAGTAGTAGGTCAGAGTATGATTATTAGGTCTAAGGATGAATTTGTTACCACTTATCCACTACTTTGAAATTTTAAGACTCCCATTTCAAACCTTTGCTTAACATATATCCATCATCTTTGCTGAGAAGATATTCCAGTACGTTAAAACTTTGAGAAATTCATCTTGAAGACTACTACTACTACTACTACTACTACTACTACTACTACTACAACTAATAATAAGATCTGGTTAAGCCACATCCCTCATGAAGTCTTAAAAGCTGAGTTGTAACAGACTACAGACATCTAACTCTACGGTGTAGATTCTGGTTTCAAACTAACAATTTTACTGTGATATCAATTCACAATATAATTCATCCTAAATAAATAAACTTCTCATAAAAAAATATTTTTAAAAAGAATATTTAACTGAAAATTTTCTCACATTATCATTACCTGGCATCAGTGTAACAGCTAGCAAAGCCATCATCATAACAGTGTGTGCAATCAGTGTATATGAACGCATTTTTGATGTGTTTCCAATAGATACGCTGAGATGAATTCGATGGTGTTGATGGATGACGATAGGGATAGTAGTAGCAATGGTTAGTGCATTTTTATACACTTCTATTTTATTATTTTTATTTATTTTATTTAAATCACGTCATTTCTTAAATATTTGTAATAAACAACTAGATAAATATTTGATAAAAGTAAATGTATTTTGTGTTGTTTCTAATCGGTTATTCCTTAACAGTAATAATACTACTATTAATAATAATAGTAATATATATGTATAAAGAATGTTTAACGCAAAACAAAATAAATATTTTCTCTACTATATTTCAATAAAAAAAAACTATCCTAAAAATAGTCAACAAGTTGAACCACCTATGAGTATTCAACTCAGCGATAATATCATACACATCATATGTCAGCATGTTTCAATAATCAATCTAGACTGTTCAAATTACAAGTCAATTGATGACAACTCATTTGTGAAAGGTATTTTAAAGAAAAAACAATATAATCACCTTAAATAACGTTGAAATCAAGTCTTTATCGATTTATGCACATCTAAATATATTTTCCAGATTATACTTTCTATATATATCTGTTATATATTAATTAACTTCGTGGGATGAAGACATTTATTTATTTATTATGTTATAAGTGTTGTGGTAAACAGTTAAATATTTACATTACTTAAATGAGACTTGATTAGATCGTATTGTAAAAAATAAACTAACAAAGAAATTAGGCTAGCTGATTGAGAAAAATGCACCTACAGAGAATTAACGGCTGAATCTGAGAGAGAGAGAGAGAGCGCGCCAGACAGAGTGGTTCATCAATGATCCAAGAAATTTTGGTTAGACTACAAATGGAATTATTATTATAATTGTCCCCTTGGGTTCCTAGTGGAACATAGGGCTTCAGCTCCACGTCTACACTTGCTTCTGTCTTCCTTCCGCTGTACTCTTCACCTACATCATCCATGTTAGTCCATACTCTTTCAACTCCTCTTCACACAATCTCCTCCATGTCACCCTCGCGCTGACATCCCACTCGCCGCTTGCTTCCCTTTCGGCCTGGTTCCACTCGAGCAATGGCTTGACGCCCGCGCGATGTCACCCAGCGGCGGCCTTCTCAGCCATGAGTGTCCAATCCATCTCCACTTCCTCCTGCATATTTGTTGATTGGCGGTTGGTTCTTGTTTTGTTTTGTTTGTTCTCAGCCATAGTTTCTTGTTGGTGACTCTTTCCGGCCTCGTCATCTGATCTTCAGTATACAGCCAGCGAAGACAGTTAGTTGTTGATGAAGGTCTGCAATAGCCAGCCTATTGGAAATATTCTTTGTGACCCGCCCGCCTGCCAAGTTTCTGATCCGTAGAGGAGAACTGACTTGACTTGACGTTGTTTGTATTGAAGATCCGAGCGAATTTTGTTGTTGATTCTGGCTGAGTGACGAAGATTTCCAGATTGATTTCAGGTTGATGAATGTGTTTCTCGCCTTCCCGATGATTCTCGATTTGACATCCTCGTCCGTTCCAACTGCCTGTAGTTGAGACAATGGTCCCTAGATCAGTAAGTGAATGAAGTAACTAACCTCTTTCAAATCCCTCCCGTTGATAGTGATTGGCGCTGGATGTTGCTGTTGTTGTTGTTAGTTGGTTGGTTATTTTCATAACTTCCGTCTTGTCTATGTTCACTTGGAGTCCGGTCTTCGCCGGCTGCTTCTTCGACCAGTTTGTCGGTTTTCGCTTGTAAGTCTTCGATTTTGTGTGACATCAAGCATAAATCATCCACGCGCAAAATCCAGGTCTTCTAGGTTCTTTACGTCGGTCCAGGATATCCCTGTCTTCTCGTTTCCCACTGTCTGAAGAATTAACAAATCTTAATTCATAAACAATGAGAAGTCATGCCTGATGGGATCAAGGGATATAAGGTGAAGCGGAAAATCACCGATAGCATTGTTTGATGAATTGAGAAAAGCTGGAATTCAGTACTGATTAAACTTCAATACATTGGTCGAATGGTAAATAGGTTTACCTTATAACCCAAATGTCCTCGATCGCATCCCTGATGAGACTGTTGGTACTCACTGATGAAGAGACTCAAACGAGGACGGAACAGCTGCTCAGTGTTCTTCAGTTTTCACTGAATGTCTAAATGAAATCGTTTTGTGCTGACACCTACAGTGAAGCATCACTGACCAACAAAACGAAGCGATCAAAGACGCCCATTAAAAAATTTAAGCGGCTGATTAATGAATAAAGAATATTCTTTCAGATAACTTCCTCTTCAACAGGTTCTACACTTATATGACCGTAATGATTAAAGAATTATTGTTATTAACAACACTAATGTTTTAAATCACATTGAATCAATAGCGTGGACAGATTAAATCTCAGAAGCATCAGTAAGGCGGAGATAATATGTGTTAATATAATACTAAACTAAAAAGCAAATAAATTAAGGAAAGTAATATAGAATTTGTGAATTGATAAGTTTGACAGCAGGTAAACGTAACGATAGTGGCTGAACTTGTTTATTTTGTGCCCAGTGCTGCGACTTATTTAGGCGAATTGCAGTTGCCTCTTCTATTTGCACTGTTTCATATTTTTGGAGAACTTTGGTAAAAAACACCCTTCAACACGCAACTCTGCGGTGTATTAATGTTCCAGAGGACAACAAAATTAAATTCCTACAGCAAGTGCCAATATAACCGATTCCACAGGAGTCGATGAACTGACAGATACAATAAGAGGAGGCTAGCTTAGATGCTTCTTCTTTAAGTTTCGGGATCATAACAAAACGTGCAGGAAATGTGATTTACAGCCTACCAGTATTAAAAGGTCACTGGATCAACTCTCTTCAACTTGTTCATCATGTTTTCGTTTGATACATCACCTGTGATGTATGTATAGAGGCCTGTTGTTTACAGAAACAGAAAACTAAGTTTTCTAAACTCTTGACTGTGTTTAGTGATGAATGAAATTTTACAAATACAAAATAAAAACGAATATACGATGAAAAATTACTCAAAACAGTTTAATGATAATAATAATTTTCCCTTCACGTTCCCAGTGGAAAATAGGGTTTCGAGCTAGTGGCTTGAAGTTTCTGTAGCAGTGTTTATTCTTACAGGATGGGGTTGCTAGCCTCATGTCCAACTTTCCCTCTTTACCAGAATTTTTCCTGGCTTAGTGAGGTAAAGGAGTGCGTCCGTGGCCGGGGATCGAACCACAGACCATGTGCATGGTCGGCGAGCGTTCTAACCGCTGTGTCACCGAAGCACTTCGAAACGGTTTGAAAAATTAAAAAAAAAATTAATAGACACAAAATAAGCAGAAGAAAACAAAATGGGTCATTGATAGATAAGATTACGCAAAAACATCGTGAAAAAAGAAAGAGAGCAAAACAAGAGAATAGACGGAAGAATAAACAGAAAACACATGATATAGGGCAAAAAAAATATATCGATTACAAAAAGAGACAGTGAAAAGTAACGATCTGTTAAAGAAATTCAAATAGAAACAACTAGTTAATAAGTAGTATAACTGAGGTGAATAATAAAGACATAGACGAAGAGGACGAAGAAGCAGAAAGATGGAAACTATTGAGAAGCATCTGTAGATAGGATGAAAAAATGAAATGTCAGCCAGACAAAAGACTGTAAACGACAGGTGGAAAGAGAAATCAAGACAAGATCAGGATGAAAATAAATTAAACACACAAATACGAGTAAAGAATACACACAGCACTCAAAACATCATAAAAGAGAACCAAAGGGACACATTCATGACAACCTCAGAAATATTCAAAAACCATAAGAGATTATCATTGTTATTATTATTCCCTTGGGTTCCGAATGCAACATATGGCTTTAACAACGCACCTCCACTTTGTTCTATTCTCTGCTATCTTCTTCATCTGGACCCATGATTACCCATAATATCTCATCTCCTCAATGTCACTCTCTCACTGACGACCCACTCACCGTTTCCCATTCACGTTCCAATCTAACGATGAACTGACGACCGATATCATTCGATGGTCTCCTCAATGTATGCCTGATGAATCTTCATTTTCTCCTACACATTTGTTGAATGATGGGTTCTTGGTTAGTTTGTTCCCATAGTTTCTTGTTACTAGTTCTTCCTGCCTGGCTAGTTGATCTTCGGTGTGGAGCGGAAGCAGCTGTTCGTAAACGTCTGCAACCTGTTGGAAATCCTTTTCGTGACATGCACTGCAATATTCTAACCCGTAGAGAAGAAATAACTGACCTAACATTTGTGTCGAAAACCTGAATCTTGTCCTATATGCTGATAGTGGAATATTTTCAAAGTGGTTTCAGGTTGGATCATATCTTTCCGATTCTGATTGATCGGCATTGACATTATCCGTCCCGCCTGTTGTTCAGAAGATGCTTTCCAGATAGGTGAAGGAAGTAACCTCTCTTAAATCTCTCCCTTTGATGGTGATTGGTGTTGATTGTTGTTGATGAATCCCTTGTAGTTTTGCCCTTCAGCTTCTGAATGTTGAACTTGGGTTACAGTGGCCTGTATCCAGTTGTTTTCATGGATTTTAGCTTCATCTTGAGGGTTCATTGAACTATTGTTGTTGGTTTGTGTATATCTTTGTATGTGTATCTACCAATTTAACTGCTCCTGTGGAGCCAGTTGCATAGGCCATACAATTAGGCGTGTTTCTCGTCGAATTTTCGAACATCACCCTGTGTGGTTAAGCAGAGGACAAACAAAATCCATTCGTAACGCTATTCTGTCTCATCTTGTGGATACACAAGATTGACGTTAACCATGCTTTCAGGGTTATTTACCGCATACCTACGAATCTCAGTTTCGCCTTAAGAGTTCGACTACTAAATATTGCTGGGACTGTGGGGATCCATATTAACAAGTTTAATTTGGGCATCCAAAAGAAGTTAGTTCAGACATTATCATTACCTTGGCCATCTAGATTTGAGTGATCCTGAATTTTTGTGGAATTTTCCCAATTTTAGTTGATATTCTATTTGCTACTATATCTGTATTATTATTATTATTATGTATATTTAATCAATTGTTCGTACTTTACAAGTCGATATTTTTT